GATTAAAGGTGTGCACTACCACCTCCCGGCTCTCTAGTTTTTTGAATAACTGCCATTCTGTTTTCCACAGTAGATACCTGCTGCTAGATAGTATGTCTATGTGCATGTGTTTAATACAGTTAGCTATTGTGTTGAGTTTCTCTATTTTCTGCTATCTGGCTGCTATAAATATTATAACTGTCCTTTTCCTGCTTGCCTGGATCCTGAAAAAGACAAATGAAAAATGAAGCATAAAAGCTCACTAGCCCTTTATATCTGATGGTAACCCCTTCAGCTGGGATAAGTAGAAGTCTATAAAGACTTTCTGTCTATTTTTTTCTGTCTATTTTATTTTATTATTTATTTATTTATTTATTTATTTATTTATTTTGAGACAGGATTTCTCTGTGTAACAGTCCTGGCTGTCCTGGAACTAGTTCTGTAAACCAGGCTGACTTTGAGCTTACAGATCCACCTGCCTCTGCCGCAAGGGTGCTGTGATTAAAGGCATGTACCACCACTGCCCAGAAAGTTCCTGTCTTTTCTCTGCACCTCTGTGATCAGAAGCAGTATCATCCATCAGAGCAGACAGATGCCAAAAATCGGGAGTACAGAGTCCTTTTTTCTCCACTCAGACTTCCCCAGAGAGCTGCAGTTGTACCAAGAGCTGAACTTGACTGAAATGAACCATAATTTGCTGACTGAGCCTTATAGTAGATGTTGGAAGCCTTACATAGATGCCAGATTTTCACAAGGACTCTATCAGACAGGGTTTACCAGTGGAATTGTCCCCGTGGGAAGATGAAATTTTTAGGTCATCATCTGAAAATGATCACATTGAAGAATTTTTTTTCCTCCTTGTCATGTTTTTATTCATTTCTTGGGAATTTCATATAATACACCCTGATCACACATGCTTCCCATTCCTTCCAAGTCCCTCTCACCCTTGTGCCCCCACCACTACCACCAAAAGTCCAATTTGTGTTGGCCATATATTCCTTGGAGTCTGGTCAAACTCCCAGTGGCCATCCCTTTAAAGAGAATTGTGTCCTCCCTGTTAGCATTTTAGCTCAGATGGGAAGGGTTGGTAGCCAAGTAATACCTTGTCACAGTAAGCATAGCAGTGTACAGCCCTGGTCTTTCTCTAATGTAACTAGAGGGTTTCCCAAGGAAGGTCTTACAGTTCTGCTCAGATCCCCTGGAGTGTAGCAACTCTTTTATTACTAGGGAAAGTGTTACAGCCCTGCTCTGCTGAGGCTCCAGTGAAAAGTTACTTCTCTCCTCCACTCCCTTTGGGCAAAAGAAGGTCTCACAGTTCTTTAATTCTGGAGATTTATTGGGAGGGAAGAATCCAGAAGAATGGCCACCTCTGTCAGGGCGGAAAAAGGCAGCAGCAGCAAACTGAACAGGTACAGGCTTATATTAGGCTTCTTATGGGCAAAGTTATTACAGGGAGATTTTCAGGGTGAGGACTGGTCAAATTTCAGTCTCTTGAGCTCAGATTGGCTAGTTCTTTTGATCAGGGATTGGTTGGTTTTCTGCTTTTCTGCTTAGTTGGACAGGGACAGATTTGGTTTCAGGGCCAAAGTATATTCCTTCTACTGACACTTTTTAACTTTTTGGCTCTCATTTCAGGGCTAGAACATATTTCTTTCACTGGCTCTGATTTTAGGGCCAGGGTGGGTTTCTTTGACTGGCCTTTTTACCCTACACTTCTCCCACCCTCACCCTCCACCAGAAGCCATTAATTGTGAATAGCTACACTTTAGCATCTTCATCACAATTTTTAAGGGCTCTTCTATAGTTTCATGTCTTTACTGTTTCTTTTTGAGGAGTCGGGGAGAGGTTGGTACAGAAGCCTTCAGTGGCTCTCTTTCTCAGGTAAGAGTCTGCATTGATGCCACTGCAAAACAAGCTTCCCTGCTTATAGCAGCTAGGGGCAGCTTGGATCATAGACATCAACATGGTTTCCAGTTGCAGCCCAGACATCCATGTAGTTTCCAGTAACAGCCCAGATCACAGCCATCAACATTGTTTCTGAGGATCACGGACATCAACATGGTTTCTGGGGATCATGAACATCAGCATGGTTTCTGACATTGCTAGTAGGGATCATGGATGTCTTTTGAGGATACTTAACCCAGAAAATAAACCATACTTCAATTTGGATATTTTATTGCTGCTCAGAGTCAGAGAGATCTTGGAATTGAGAGTGTCTGTGAATGCTCCAGGCTGCTGTGCAACACCCAGACCTCAGTACCAGCTAACCAGCCATTACCACAGACACCAACCTTGTGTTTGCAACCTCTGGGCAGTACTGTTCCCTGCTGCCAGCACCTGCCTATCAAGTGGGACCAGCTCTACTCAGCAATGATATGATCTCAGCATGCTTCCAAGCCTGTCACCACTACTGTTCCTCTAGTTCTGCTTCTCTGTGCCACACATGCCTCTCAGGTATCCCAGGCAGGACCATCATGTGTGCAGCCTGCGAACAGCACCATGTCCCTCTTGAAATATTTCTTAGAAATTTATCCACTCACTTTTGTGCTATATTTGTTTGTATTATTTTTTATTTGATTCTATAGGGATTGTAATGTACACAATCTACTTTTAGTAGTCTAGCAGTTTACTTTCTTTTATTATATTTTTATTAAGTTCTTAAATTTAGATATATAATTTATTATATTCTCGTCCCCTCCCCTAAATCAGTCCTTCCAGATCCTCTCCCCCTCTGAAAAAACAAACAAAAACCCAATACTACAACAAATCCCTTTGACCAAGAAAACAAAATAAAATAAAACAACACACAAAAAAGAAAATAAAGCCACCAAATTATAACTGAATAAAATTACACACAAAGAAAGAAGGACATTTTATATTAGTCAGCTATAGTATAATTATGCTGGCCTGCCCTGTCACCTGGGTATCCTGTCCGTTTAAGAGACAAGCTCTGCCCTCTCCCAATCTCTCCTTTCCCTCCATGGCAAGCTGGTCTCTCCCCCCCACTTTTTCTGAAGAGACAGCTCCCTGCTTCCTTCCTACCCCCTCTTCTTTTCTCTCTATCTCTCTCTCTCCAGTCTTGAGGGATTTCTTATAGCTGGTACACCAAAGATCCCAGCATTTATTTACTGAGACCCACCATTTAACTTTACTGACTTAATCTTATCCTTATTTTTTAAATTTGTGGCTAAGAATAGTGGCCCACACGTTTAATCCCAGCACTTGGGAGGGAGAGGCAAGTGTATCTCTTGTAAGTTCGAGACCAGCCTGATCTACAAAGCCAGTGCCAGGGCAACCAGGGCTATTACAAAAAAAATCCTGTCTTAAATTACCAGTAATAATAATAATATTTTTGTACTGGATTGTTTTGGCTTTTTTAAATTATTGGTTTCAAAGTCTTCATCTGTATTTTTGAAAGTTTCTTTTGGATATAGAATTCTTAGTTGACAGTTTGAGCTTTTAGGGTGTTCCTCCCCAAAATACTTTAAAGATACCCAATTATGTTAACTGTTTGACATGACGTCTGTTGTATTTCCTCTCATTGTTCTCTATTAATGAAACTGGTTTATAATTTGGTTGTGATAGTAGTACTCAACTCTGTTCATTTGCCACTAATTATAAAATTGTGTATCAAAGAAAGAAGTTTGTTATATCTGAATTTAAAATACAAGTACTGTAAGGACTGTATGCACTGGTATAGGCTACGAATACAATAATGAATAAACTAGTTTCTGGTTTTACAAAGCCTAATGCCAACATCCTAGCTGTGTTAGACAAGAGACAGAAAGAAATACCTTGAGGTGGCACATGAGATGCAATTATCACTGATTTACTAGCAGTAAGTCTAAGAGGGAAAATAAACTTACTAACACAGAGAGTCCATAAATAGCACTTCTCAGGGTTGAAAGTCCATTGGTGGCCGGGTAGACTGGCAACATTTATCTTCTCTACACAGTGTTGCTTCACCAAAGCCAAATGGCACTCATCTTTTCCATATTATTCCTAGAGTCCTTTGATGATGGGCTGGAAGAAAATTGTCAGTTGTCAGAGGTCCGGTGCTTGCTGGACTAGACAAGTGGCACCTCAGTCTGTCATGTCACCTCATTTAATGATGCTTATTCTAGTCACAATATTCTGTGAGGATCAATGGCCGCCTGCTCTACCAAGAGTACTTGTGCTTTTCACAGTGCTCCTTTTCTGTACCATTTATCACAAAACCAAGTTTTATTGGTTAGATGCCAGAAGTATTGGCATTATTAGCTAGCTTTTGCTCTTTGTATGATTAGCATTCCAGTAGCAGCTGACTTAGTGTATATGCAGAAAAGTAGTTTTTCTTTATAGATAATGCTAACTTGCCTAGTTCCCAGTGTATTTTGGAGAGGCTAACTTTAATTCTGGCCAGTGCAGTGGGCCTTCTCTGTTCTCTTAGCAGAGAAGTGCGTTTCAGGGATAAGGTAGTTGATGCTGATGTTCCATTTAGGAATCATGAATAAAGCTTACAAAGAAGTAAATTACTAAAATCATAAACATATGATAATTGATAATGGAAATAATACCAAGAGCTATTCCAAGAGCTATGGGAATGTAAATGCCTACAGTATGCCACACATGGAGTCTTGCTAGCACAGAGCTCCCACTCTCTAATGTGTGGTTGGCCTTTCTGCTGTTCAGCTCCAGCCTTCTGTGCCTAGGGTTCTCACTCAGGATATAAACTTTGTTCCAGAAAGCACATTATTTTGCATTCATCAAATAATATTTCCTGGAGAATGTGGCCTTTGAGTGGTTGGAAAGTTGGATAGGTTCAAACAGTTGTGGGCATTCCAGGCTAAGATAGTAGTTTGTGGCAATTAGCATTAGCTGTCACAGAACTCACACTTACACAAGTGTAGGGATCAACATATAGAAAAGCATCAAGGGTATTTTTAGTGTTAGTGTAACACGTTAATAAAAAATAAGAAATAAATGTTAAGTGAGCCTATCATTTCATTCTAGTTATTAATCATAGCATCTTACTCTTACAGAGCAGAAGAAAAAAGAGATTTGCTCATGTTTTTCCGAAGTCTACATTTTTTTGTGGAGTGGTATGAATATCGCAAGAACACATTTAAGCATTTTAAGGTAAAGTCTGAAGATTTTAAATTTAAATATATGTAGAAAATAAAGCTGGTGTTAATTTTGTTGACACAGTACACTCATAGTTTGCTTTCTTTTTTTGTTCTTTTTTGAGCCAGGGTCTGATTATGTAGACTATAATATCTAGGGTCTGGATATTATGGAACTATGTAGACCAGGCTGGCTTCAAACTCACAGACATCTGCCTGGCTCTGCCTCTCTTGTGCTGGGATTAATAGTATGCACTACTTACGTGCTTTAAATTTCAAAGAATAGAGAATATTGTCACTGGTTTAATAAATTAGCAGTTATTTATAATAAATGGGCGAGAAGTTTCTATATAAATCAATGGATAATTGATAGTATGAAATTTTATTATTTTGACTATTCACTATAGTCTAATTTATTAAGAATTTTATTTTTGAAAAGTCAGCCTTTTGGGAGTACATAAAAAACAAAAATAAATGCTAGTAAAGAATATATAGTGCCTGCTGTGATGGTGCATGCCTTTGATCCCTGCACTCATAAGGCAGAAACAGGGAGGTCAGAATGAGTTTGAGGCCAGCTTGGTCTACATAGTGTGTTCCAGGCCAACAAGTCTATGTACACTCTGCCTCAAGCAACCTATTATATATTATCACAAAGCAATGTAATTGTAATTTCTATGTCAGACTATTTTAAGCTGCTGTATTATTGGACATCTTGAGTATAAATATTGACACCTGATTTTTATGAAGTAATTATTTGCTTGTTTGTTCATTTTGGTTTTACATAGCTCTTTATTTCATGTTTAATTTTTTTAAAAAGCAATCTTTTTTATTTTACATACCAAGCCAGTTCCCCCTCCCTCCTCTACTCTCACTGCCCCCACCTTTTCCCCACCCCAACCCCCATCTACTCCTCAGAGAGGGTAAGGCCTCCCATGGGGAGTCAACAAAATCTGTCACATCACGATGAGGCAGAGTCAAAGCCCTCCCCAGTGTATCGAGGTTGAACAAGGTATCCAGCTCCATCTTGCACAGGACCAAACTTGGCCCTCTGAATGTGGATGACAGTTATGTGGCTTGGGCAGTTTGTGGGGCCACTGGCAGTGGGATCAAGATTTATCTCAGCATATAAGTAATGGTTTTAATTCTGATGGAAATGCTTAAAGACTGCTTTTTAAAAAATTGTTTGGGGACATAATCAAAAGTTGTTTGGTTGTCTTCTAATCCCTCAGGTCCTACTTATTTCCATAGCATTGTTATTAACAGCTGTCAGCCACACAAAAACCTCTGAATGAATCAGTGTAAATAATATTTCAAGGTTCTAGTCCTTCAAAAGCCCAACCTATGGCTGTTATTTTAAAGATTAGTACCAATTTGCCTGTATTTAGAGTTCAGTTCTTTTCTTATTATTGAATTCATTCTCTTTGGTTGACTTAATAAAATCTGTCAGGTGTAAGGCTTTCTCCAGAATGAAACATGGGCAGTTCCCATACTGCAGTTCTTCAAGTAATTCTCATGATTTTGTTATATTTTCTTGTATGTGTTCATGTATTTATTTCTGGGCTCTCTAATTTCTTATATCACACACACACACACACACACACACACACAGAGCAGTAATACCCTTTGGGTTATTGTATTTTTATAATAAGTCTTTAAGTAGATGAGTCTTCTCCCTTGCTTCTTTTTCAAGATTTTGTTTGTTTGTTTATGTGGAGTTTTAAATATTCTATATAAATTTTAGAGTAGATTATTTTTGTGCTTCTGTAAAAAAAAAGCATCACTGATACTTTTGTAGGGATTTCATTGAATCTCAAGATTGTTTGTCTTAATAATATAACATTTCCAGACACACGAACATAGGTGTCTATTCTTTTGTGTATATTTTTATTTTCTTAGTGTTCTATTGCTGTGAAGAGACACCACGACCAGTTTATAGAAGGAAACATTCAATTGGGGGCTTACTCACATTTCAGACGACTAGTCCATTATGGCAGAGAGAATGGTAACAGGCAAACAGTCATGGTGCTGAAGTAGTTGTGAGCTCATATCTGGTTCAGGCCTTGAGAGAGACACTGAGCCTGGCATGGGCTTTTGAAACATCAAAGGTCACCCCCAGGGACACATTCCTCCAGCAAGACCACACTTCCTAATTCTTCTTAAAATGGTTTCAGTTCCTTTCACTAAGCATTCTAATATATGTCGATGGGAATTATTTTTATTTAAACCACCACATATATCTTTTGTTTTTGTGTATTTTTTTATATATTTGTAAGGTGTAAATAATTTTTAAAATATCTCACTTTAAAATAAGATATCACATATCTTATGTGAATGTTTTTTGTTGTTGTTGTTGTTTGGTTTTTCAAGACAGGGTTTCTCTGTAGCTTTGGAGCCTGTCCTGGAACTAACTCTTGTAGACCAGGCTGGCCTCGAACTCACAGAGATCCGCCTGCCTCTGCCTCCTAGTGCTGGGATTAAAGGTGTGCGCCACCACTGCCCGGCATATGTGTGTATTTTTGGCTGCACATTTGTATGTATGCCACATGCGTACATTGCCAGTTGAGTCCAGAAGGAGGTGGGTATTGGTTTTTCTGACACTGGAATTGTCAGTGCTGGAACTAAATTTGAGTCCTATGCAAGAGCAGTAGGTTCTCTTAACCTCTGAACCACATCACCAGTCTGTAGGTGGAGTTTTCCTGTCCCACAGCTGCTCTCAAACACACTGAAGTTTATATTAATTATAAATACTTGGCTGATAGCTCAGGCTTGTGACTAACTAGCTCTTACAACTTAAATTAATACATTTCTATTACTCTATTTGTTACCACATGTGTTGTGGCTTTGCCTGTCCTCCACCATGTCATGCTCCCCCTATGTCTCTTAGTAACTCCTGACTCTGCCCTTTCTTCCCATCATTCCCTAGTTTGGTTGTGCAGCCTATTCCTGCCTGGCTACTGGCCAATCAGCTTTTTATTAAACCAATCCAAGTGACAAATCTTAACTGTACAAAAGAGTTATTCCACAGCACCAATCCTGTTATGATTTTTTTTAATTTTAAGACTATTTGTTTAGTTAAAATTGTCAAGAATGAAATACCTATATTATAGAGTAGAATCAAGGATAATTTTACTTGTGTTGTTTTCCTTGGTCCATTCTGGATTTTATTTTATTTTTCCGTACAAAGGTGTATAACAAAGATATAACCTACCTGTGTTCAAGTGGTTGTACTCAAAATCCAAGTTATTTAAGTAAATTCTGTAATTTATCATTTTTAGCAATATTCTTTCTCCCAAAAATTTCATCTAAACCATTGGTTTTAACTCTAAAAAAAATTATAATTATCTTATGGTATTTTCTCATTAAATTCTATTACAAAAATAATATAGAAGGCTGAGAATAGAGTTCTTTAATATAGAAGGCTGGGAATGTTGTCTAGCATGTACAAGGCACTGTGTTCAGACCCCAGAACAATACACACCCCCAAAATACCAAACTGTGTTTGTATGTATATATGAGTATATTTTTCTTGTGAAAGTCAGAAAATTAAAGGGCGTGCCTGTATATTATCCATTGTTTCAGTCTTGTCACTCTATTTTCATTGATTTATTCTAGATTATACTAGTTTGTTTTTAATCCATATAAGCAATACCCTTCTATTTCGATAAATTTTACAATGTTTATTGCATATTTAATTCAAATGTACTATTAGGTACCATACAAGTGTAAAAGGTAGAACTGTGTTCAGTAATCCTAGTGAGTGTTTAACCACAGAGAAACTGAGACATGCACACAAAATGACACAATGGGATAAATTTACTATAACATCAAATGAATGAACTAGTAAACATTATTAGAGTCATTAGTATGGTCTCATAGGTCACAAGTGCTTTAATGAAGAGTTTTGTCTGGGGTCAGCCATAACATGAGAGAGAAGGGGGTCAGTCTGCATTGGGGCAAAACACCAAATGCTTGAGTATTCTAGGAAAAGCATGCAGATTCTAACGTGGTACTTTTGTATATAAAAGATAATTATTTCTAAAACATTGTTAATTTTATGTTCAACTCCAAAGTAATATGTAGACTAATATTTGTGAGTGTGCTATATGCACCTTCCTCTGAGGGTTAATGTAGGAACTTTAATCTGCATTGTTCAGTCATGATTGTTAGACAGAAGGTTGGGTTTCTCTGTTCCATGTATCTGGAAATCATGGCCATTGAGAAGTGCTGCTTCTGGATGGATTGTGAGTGTTCAGTTTGGGTGAACATATGTATAGCTGAAGCTCTACGTACAGCACAACACAAAAGACTTTGTTTAAATTTCTTATATTTGAACAGATTTATTGATGAAATCCTTCCTATACTGTGAAAAGTTTACACTCATTTCATGTTTGAGAATCTTTAGAGTAAAGGGCTCTTATTGCTCTCAGAGAAAATGAGTAGAATTTTGATTTTTTTTCTTAGAATTTTTTTTTAAGTAATTGACTAAAGACTATTTGTGTGACCACAAAGCATAAAACTGAATTTTTCTAAATTGGTTCTATACCAAAGAGTAGAATTTTACTTTACTGGAAAGTTTTGCCTAGATGTGGCTACCCTTTTCCTTAGACTAAGTGAGAAATACAATAAAATAGCTGCCGTACCAGAAAAGGTTTCTGCTTCATGGAGAATGCTGATGAGTCATAAAGTCAGTGGACGGTCACTTGGAACATTGGGCTTTTCACAGTTTCTTGGAACGTCGCCTTAAATGCTTTTGAAATACAGTAAATGTTAAGAAAGACAAACAGTTGAATGTTTCTTGGCATTCTCTTACTTCATTAGTCTTGGGAATGGTGGATCTCATGTGAGTGTTTATATAAAAGCACACTGTTTAGATGTAGTGCAGTGTAAACTACAAGGGGTTTTTAATGTTGTTTAGTTTCATATCATTTTGTTTTGAACTAAGAGATTCAGTTTGGATTATTTTTATAGTAACATGTAAGAAAAAATGTAATAATTTTGGACATCATTGATTAAACATAAAGTTCTATAATAGTGAGATAAAATGATAATAGTAAGCTAATGTTTATGTTCCTTTAAGACATTAGGTACGCTACTTTAGATTATACACTGCATTGATGGTTTTTAAAAGTATGATCCTATAGGTAATCTTTTTAAGCAAATGAAACTGTTTGGATGCTTTCCCAGAGCAATTGGATTGCCCTCCAGGCGAATCTCTTCAATTCGGTCCCGGATGTAACGAGTGTCATTAGCCTTGCAGAATGTATCATCTGTAATTGAAGATATGCTGTTAAACTGAAAAATAAAAGAAAAAATACTCAGAAGTCTAAAATCAACCTTTTGTATATTATACAGTAGGATTACACAGGATATTTTGCCTAAAATTGAGTCTTCTTTTAGAGATAATATTTAAAAAATATTAGTCCACTATAATGACACTCTCTCTTGCAATCTAAACATATTTATAAGTGTACAGTATTGCTTTGTATTAACAGTCATTATTATTCCATATTGCTTCTGTCCAATCCTGTTTGGAATATAAGTAGAAACATGCAAGCTAAAGAAACTATCCTATTCCAATGTGTTAACTCAAAAATGGTACAATGTGTTTGAATATTCCTTAAAGAGGTGAAAAGAAGTTGAGATTCTTGTGGTGCTGAGATATCAACCTCTGCTCCTTTTCATTTTTTTTTCACTTTTGCAATGCCCACTTGATGTTGTCCTATAAAATGAGATAAAATGTCTCCAAAAGCATATGTCTGCCACTAATTGGAGAAAGAAACATAAATCAGTGGTCTTCAAATCTGTGTTCAGAGTAACTAGGAGATACATAACACCTTGTGTCAGTTGCTGGCAGATTTCCCAGGTTTTTTCGCCTCCATTATTCTGTGCTTCTGTCCCTTCCTCCTGCCTCCACCACACTACAGAAAGCTCGAGAGTAATCCTGGGTTCCAGATGATTTTGGCATAAAGAAATTGAACTTAGAATTTCTTGGATGATAGAAGTGTCTTTAGTTGTTTATGATTTCCATCTTTCAGAACTTGGAGTTATAATAATGAGGTAACTCATAGTGACCACTCTAGAAAACTGCAATATAGGGATAAGACAAAACAAACACATGCTTCATATCGTACCTGCAGTGGAAAATGTGTTATCAGACTGAACCGTGAACTTACAGGGTCTCCATAGACTGAGAGGTATCAGAATTGAATTTTAGAATACTCAACTGGTGGTGGAGAATTGGTTAGTATTTAGAAAACACCACACATTATGTGGCACAGGTGTGTCAGCAAAGATGCTCACCTCTTGAATTTGGCCTGTTAGAACAAACAACAAATTCCTACTACTGTGGTTGTGGTTCCTTTGTATGTCTCAGTTCTGCTTGGTTATTTAGTGTGTCTGTTGTTTTCTTTATTGTCCTCATTGTGGTCACCATCAAAGGAATCCCCTCTTCTGGGGATGTCAAAGCAAACAAACCCACAAAACACCACATAGGCATCCCATCTTATGTGACCGATCATTCATGTTCAATGGTTTTGCTTCTAACATGTACCTCAGATCCAAGAGTTTCAGTTATATAGACAGTGAATGCCTAATGCTCACCCCTTCGTCACCCAAGTCAGGCAGCCTGAGGAGCCAAATATTCCCATAAATAAAAATTAAAAATGTGAATGCTTGGTGATAGAATGCTTGTCTGCTTTTCGTAAGGCCTTGTAGTCAGTCCTCAACTTTACTTAGACTGGGAAGTGCTTAAAGTATAAACAGACTTTATACTTCCTAGACCGATCTACTTAGTGTACTTTGGATTGGACCTGCGGTTCTTTTTTTTTTTTTAATGAGTTATTTGTTTAATATGTATACAGTAGTCTGCCTGCAGACCAGAAGAGGGCACCAGTTCTCATTTTGAATGATTGTGAGCCACCATATGGTTGCTGAGCCAGCCATCTCTCCAGCCCTGGACTTGAAATTCTTATATAGACATTAAGTGGTTGCACTGTTTTGGTGTTATATCCATAACTGACATATAAATAAGTTTCACGAGTACGAAACATGTCCCCATAGTTAAATAAAGCTAGTTATTCTACAAAGAACAATTGTACCTGAAGGTGAATTACACGGAGACTTTCTGGTAAATTAGGAGGCACAGCTTCCAGATCATTATGGTCCAAATAGAGGAAAGAGAGCTTATTCAGTTTCTATTAAAAAAAAAAGTTCAATGTCACTGAGGTCTATGCATTCTTCACATTATTCAAATAATATATACTTTAAAAACAATATTGATGCCAGCATGTTTCGATAGTATCAGCTTTTCAATAGTATCAGCTTTGGAGTGGTACTTTGTTTTGATTGTTATTGGATTTGGCCTCATGAGTGGTGTTTTTGGCTTTTAAGACATTATGATATCTAATAGCATTCTATTGAATATTCCACATTTTTCTGACATTTATCTCATCCCTGAATACTCAGCCCTTAATATTTGTCTAGAGGGCAGCTGTGTGTTGATTGATGGTTGAATCCTTCAAGTTTTTTGCAACTTTTGAACTTTTCATAGAAGTTTTACATATTCCTAGAAAAATGGCTACTCCTAAGAGATGGTACTTAACAAGATGCCGTTTTCCAAAGCATTTTGCCAAACATACAATTTAACATGACGTGTTTTCCCATGAGGGGTTAATGTTGGAATATTCTTTATAATCAGTAACTCATTACTATGTATGATTGTATGCTATGATTTCAGAATGTAATTTTTCTGTGATGTTACTCCTAACTTTTATATGCATCCTGTGCTACCATGTCATATTTTATGATTGGGGGGGGTTACCATGTATCTTAAACTACCCTGACGCTTACCATCCTCCCTCTTCAGCTTTTCAGATATTAGGATTACATCTACTATGCCCCACTTGCTACTTCTTTCCTATGCTATTATTTCAATCTTTTATCTTTTTTCAGTTTTCAAAATTTTATGTATATATGTGTTTGTGTGCATAAACCATAGTGCACATGTTAGAAATTAGAGGACAACATACAGCATTTGGTTTTCTGCTTCCTTGTTTGACCTGGGGATTGAACTCAGATTGTCAAACTTGACAGCAAGCACCTTACCTACTGAGCCATCTCCCCACTCCTCAATTCTTTCATATACATTCTCCCTTTACATCATATGGACATCAGCTGTCTTTCCAGGACTGCTTTTATTTGAACTTTTTTTTATAGTAACTTGATACTGTACTTAGGGTTATTGCAACCCTAAGGTATTAAATAAAGTAGACAATTTCATCATTGTCATGCCAATTTCCTCAGAAGTCTTTTTTTTAATCCAGAATATTTAACTCTACCTTTCTATGTTTACTCCTTCCTTCCTTCCTTTCTTCCTTCCTTCCATCCTTCTTTCTTTTTCTGAGATGGGCATGGTTGTCCTACTTTTCCCAGGCTGGCCTTCACCTATTTATCTTAAGCAATCTTCTTGCCTTACCTTTTCAAGTAGCTTGGACCATAAGGAGTTGCTCTATGTCCTGCTCTAAACATTCTGTCACTGCTAGCTACTCCAAGACTCCCCTACTTAAATTCATTTCTTTAAATTACAAAATTAAATTTAAAAATGGTACATGTGTTTGTGTGCACATGTGCATCTGCTTGCAGAGGTCAGAGATAACTCTTGGGAGTCATTTCTCCCCCTCCAGTTTGTTGAGGCGGGCTTTTCTTGTTTTCGATGCTGCACCACAAGGCTAGGTGGCCCATGAATGTCTATTAATTTTCTTATCTCTTCTTCCCATCTCACTATAAGAGTTAAAAGATTGGAGATGTGTGATGTGGAACTTGGGTGTTCAGGCTTTTACAGGCTATTACCTTTACATGCTGAAGCATTTACCTAGCTAACTAGGTGTATTTACATTTTGTTTTTGGGAAGTGTGTCTGCTTCTGGTTTTGTGTTGTTTGTATTTTGAGATGTGCCCCTTACAGTGTAGACCAGATTGGCCTTAAACTGGAAGTCCTCCTACTTTTAGCCTCTCATGTGTTGGAACTACAGGTATGTGTACCACTATGTCCATCTTTAAATCTGCTTTGTAAAGTCAGCAAAGAACCCTTAGTTTCTGAATCCCTTATTTAAAAAACAAAGCCACCAACATTGCTTATGATATCAACAGCAAATCAGTCTTTTGGATATTCTTAATAGTATAAAAATCAGCTTTTTCTCCAAATATCTTTGTATTTACATTTACAAACATTGTTTCTGAATCCAGTTCTAATCAACAGAAATGTGAAGCCTTCAGAATACCAAAAATGCTACTAGCTGGCCTGACCCACAAAGGTTACATTGATTCAGCCTTCTTTTCAAGATTTTCTGGTTGCACAATATTATCTTATAACACAAAGGGTGTGCAAAAGACACTTCCCTGTCCCTGTTAAGGGTTTGCTTCTTTAAATCATCTTGTCATTTTCTGAAAATGCCTTAACCATACATATACAGTTTTATGTAACTATCAGTTATAAATTTTTAATGAAAAATACTAGAAGGACAAAAACAGAAACAAAACTAACAAAACCCTATAATGTTGAATGGTTACCTTAAATATAAGGAAAAAGGAAATATTTTTTTGTTTGTTTTGTTTTTTAAGACAAGGTTTCTCTGTGAAACAGTCCTGGCTGTGCTGGAACTCGCCCTATAGACCTTGCTGGCCTCAAACTCACAGAGACCAGCCTGCCTCTGCCTCCCAAGTGCTGGGATTAAAGGCCTGTGCCACCACCGCCTAGTTAAGAAATATTTTTTAAACAGGCAGTTGTGGATAAATGACAAGCTTGTATAATTACATAAACTAGTGTAAATGAAAATTTCATTAGTTTAGGTTCTTCTATTAGGAATTCTCTTGTGACGTTGCCTAAATTGGTCTTCAACTTTAGATCCCGTTGCCTGAGGCTCCTGGGTGGTTGCAATTTCAAGTGTGTGAGATTGTGTCTCTTTTGCTGTGCTTGTTGTTATTGTTTTTGAGGCAGTGTCTCACTACATAGCCTGGCTGACTGGAACTTGGTATGTAGACCATGCTAGCCTTAAAGGTGTAGATCTTCCTTCCTCCATCATGCTCCACCATACCTCACATCTTGCCTTTTGAATAAAGTTGTCTTTATTCAACTTTATTGAATAGTAGCTTGAGCATCTCGTGTTTTTGCCTGAGGTTACCTTCTCTGCCCTATGTAGGGCCGAGAGTGATTATATCATAGCTATGAAAGTTTTGGACTGGGGTGATTAATTTTTTTTCAATTTCATAGAGCATTTCTATTTTTTGGAATTATTGATTTATTCTTTGAGGAACACTACTATATTATCTACCAAAGTTAAATATAAAAGAAACCAGTTATTCCTGGTTAATAGGAAGAATACAATTTTTTGAAACAATGAGCTAAAAGTGTTTACTTTTAATATAAATATTTACTTTAAATATAAAAATGTTCCTTTGTTATTAATAGAAGACACTCATTTCTCTGTCTTCGTATGATATATGTATGGTATACATGTTTTGCTTATTTGATCATGTTTGGTGCTGGGGTGAACTTAGGTCCTCAAGCATGCTAAGCATTCTTTCTACCACGAATTATGCTGCCAGCCCCTCTGCAACACATAAACACACATTAACCCAATGTTTTTTGTGGAATGTTTGTCTTTTTGTTCCAAATTCTGAAAATATTGATCTGGGTAAATGCCAGGTATAGCTCTCTTCACTTACCTTGCTGAATAGAAATATACGTCAAAAGTAGTAGAGGAGCAGAAGAGGGGGGAAACAAGCACCAGTTTAAAAATATTATCACTGTGGTAGTGAAATGCCTCCACTGTCAGCATACTTGCTGCCAAGCTTGATGACTGCATTCCACATGTTGGAACCTGATGACCAGGACCCACAAGTGGAAGGAAAAAAGCAGCTTCCAAAAGTTATCCTTGACCTCTACATGTATACCTGGTATGTGCACACACACAAAGCGAATAAACACCCACAATAAATAAATGTAATAAAAATTTAAAATATCATCACTCACATTATGTTTTGTCATGCTATGGAATACTTACTTTGAATGTGTTTGCTTTAATCCCTTTATTCTTGATTTTGTTGTATTTAGCATTAAGTAAAGTGAGCTTCAGAGGAAGAACTGGAAGTCTTACTAGCTGGTTTTCAGCAAGTGTCAGTTCTTCCAACAGAGAAAGTTTTGAAAAAGTACTATCTTCTATATCTTCTATCAAATTTCCCGTAAAATCAAGTCTTCTTAAGTTAGCTTGACAGAAATAAATAAAAAATAAGATGTTAGAATCTCATTATGTAGACTGGAGGAAAGTTTGTGTTCAAGGCCCAGGATAGTATTTGCAGTTAGTAACTCAAGTCAAGTTCATCTTGTAGTGTTGGTAGTCTAACCTACAACCTGATACTGTGTAATTCCAGCTGTGCTTTCATGAGGTTCTGGAGATTGAACCTGGGGCATTATGCTTTGGTAGGCAAGCACTCTATCACTGAGCTAGAGTCACAACCCCATAAGTAAAGCTTTGTTGACCATTGAGTGTCTCCGAGTCTAACAATAATGCCTTTTTCCTTACTGTGGTCTTAGAATGTATGTTTCAGAAGGAATCTTAAAGTTCATAGTCTTTCCATCCGACTCTGAATTTATTATGAACAAACATATCAGAGGAAATTTCTACTCCATATAATAGGGGAAATTTGTGATTAATTGAATTTAATCATGTAATTTTTTAAAAAATTTTGCCAGCATGTTTTATTATAGTTGTGGGTACACTGTATTAATTTGTCTCTATCTTCTTTCTTAACAAGAGCAAAGACAAAAATGTTTCCTGGTTTGTTAACATGATGCAGACTGAGAGACTAAGGTATATTCACTCATTCATTCATTGCCCTTCTCTCTCTTCCGCAGCTGGAGGTAGCTTAGGCTGAGATGGTTAGGGTAGTTTCTTTTTATTGATAGTAGCTGTTTTCTAAAATGTTTTTGCATTAGAATTAGAAGAGTTCCAGAGGCAGGTGCTTATAAGCTTCTGCTCACTCATTTTTGCAAACCAATTAATATGAACCTTGCTTTATATAAATTTTTGTTTAAAGATAGCTAATCTACCCTTTGGATTCATAAACATTGGTATAACTCATAACTCAGGTTAGATAAAATTTATCTAAAACTTGCATTTTCTGCCTAGTATCATCATTGCTGCCTCCATTTAGAAATACTGTATGGCACTTCAGCACTATACTTGCTGCCATTTCAGCTAACATCTTCAACATAAAGCAAAAAATGAAAACCACGGTGCTAGATGTGCTGAATAAGACACTGCTACATTTTATGACAGCTGAAGTCGAGCGTTGCCTTGTTATACCTTAGTTGGAAATAGGTTTGAATAACTCAGTTTTGTTGTTACTCTGTGAATTTCTACTCATGGTCCTAAATTTACTGGGAATTGAACCCATCCCATAAATGTGCTAGACAGGTGCTCTAGTACTGAACTACATGTCCAGAAAGGTGAATTTGCCAATGTGGGATCTATAAAATATAAGGACCAACTGTCCTTCAGTCTGCAGCTTAGACTTATTAATGGCAGCATAAATCCAGTTAGGCTTAATCTCATAAATGTAGAATTGAAAAAGCTGGGGATATGGCACAATAGAAAGCAGTTGCCTGTTTTTGCCTTGGGGGGAAAGTCTTGGACTCAATTGCTGCACTCCCGAAATAAATAAGTAAATAAAATGTAGTAAAGCCAGTGTGATTCTTGGTTATGGTTTTCTTCAGGAACACTTCATGACCTAGGTATCTAGAAAACTGACCAAGGAACAAATAATCCAGAGTTGGGATTTGGTATTTCAGAAAAGGATATTAGTAGTATGCTGACCACAATACATTAGTCCAGTTAAATTTTATTAGAAAGCCAAAAAGCTGATTACTAATGAAAAAGTTGAACATGACTGTTTCAGAACTGTTTCTGTTGAATCATCCAGGGAATGTGGTTGCTTTTCATGGGGTATTGGTATTTTAAAAAGTTGTTCCCCAGATTTTTTTAAAAAGGATTGTTAATTATTATGTACACGTGTCTGTGTGTAGGTAAGTCGTGTGAGTGCAGGTGCCTATGAAGTATTCAGGCAATGGTGTCAAATACCCTGGAGCAGGAGTTGCAGGTAGTTGTAAACTGCCTGATTGGGTTCTCAGGATCACACTGAGAGAGCAGCAAATGCTCTTAAACACTGAGCCATTTCTCCAACTTCCTTTCCACATATTTTTAATATGTAGCAAGGTTAAAAGTTATAAATTAGGTCAGGCAGTGGTGGTTGGTACATGCCTTTAATCCCAGCACTTGAGAGGCAGAGGCAGACAGGTCTCTGAATTCAAGACCAGCCTGGTCTACAAAATGAATTCCAGAAGAAGATCCAAAGCTACACAGAGAAACCTGTCTTGGGGGGGAAAAAAAAGAAAAGAAAGAAAATAAGAAAGTTATAAGTTGAAGAAAAGGAGCCAGGTGCCTGTAATCCTAGCACATGGGAAATGAGATCCCAAGTAGAACAAAACAGTGAAAGGTAGGTAGGTAGGTAGGTAGGTAGGTAGGTAGGTAGGTAGGTAGATAGATAGATAGATAGATAGATAGATAGATAGATAGATAGATAGATAGATAGATA